AGACCTGGTTGAGCTGCACTAGAGAAGGCAATGAGTGTTATCACTGTGTCTGAGACACGCTAGCTTTCCCAAGGCAGATGAACTTCGAGTGGTTATGATCATCCGAGTTTAAATTGCGCTCAAATTGATTTGATTTTGATGCAATATTTATACTGAAGCTCGCAGGCGGCTATGGTAAGGGGCGTGACATTTCCCGACCAGGCACAGAGTGGTGCCAATCACAACACACACTGGCCCAGCTAACCAATCACAGCACATTTCGTATTTCAGAAGGCGGGCCTTCATTTGATACAGGAACTATTCGAGCCGTTGATGACAGACTGGGGAGAGGGGTATTGTAATAGTGTAAAATATGTGAAAAATAATGTGTTTTTCGAACAACCTAGTATGAGAGCCTGTTCTAGTACACCCCCAAAACAAAATCAAGACTTTGTAAAAGAGCATAATAGGACCCCTTTAAAAAACGTTACTGTTCCCAATTTTTTGAACGGCAGTGTATTATACTGTATATACTGTAAAAAATGTTTACTCAGGTAACCTAAAATTTACATAATTTAGTTACATCAAGTGTCAAATCAAATATAAATAGCACATTAAAGTTGAAAGTTACACACTTTTTTGCATGTGCGCTGTACAGGTCTGGTATTAAGAATGTTTTTGCTCAGGTGGCCGAAATGTCCGCCCAATAGAGAAAAGTTTTGCTCAGCAAAAAAACAATTAGAGGGAACATTGCACACCACTATAATTTAAAATGTAAAAACAACTAAAATGCTGTATTATTTATGCCAAGCCAATAGATGGTGATGTCACTTTGGTAAAGAGACGATAACAGCATCGTTTTGCACTTTGAAACTTTCAAAAGTTGGCGTTTTCAAACCCCCAAAATGCCATTGTCCTATAAATGAAAGGCCATAAACGCATAAAAATTGTTTAGTTGGTTACTCTCGTCCCACCTTACAGCTAAATTAACCAACTGAATTTTTGATGGATGAATGAAAGTCCCACCTTTAAAGAGTCAATCACATTTTGAATAAAAGTCACATTTGAAAAGTCAAAGGTGCAGCCACATTTACCGTTACTCTGCAAAATTTTTTACCGACAAAATCCAGTCATTTCTATAGACCAATTCCGTGTTTGTCAACAGCGATGACATTTTTTGTGGGCGGAGACTATCTGGTGGCAGAAAATGACTGTTTTCAAGTAGCAGTCTATGGAAGCCATGGAATTAAAGAATAAAAAAGGTAAATTTGAGTTTATATTTCAAAATTTTGACTTTAGTTTTGCAATTCCGAGATAAAATAGGTAAATGTTATGTAAAATATTAATAGTAATATGTTTAAATAGTATTTCATGCTGTAACTAATACAATATGTCCCCTATGAGCTGCATATGTGAATATTTAGACCATCAAAGTTATGCTTTAAATCAAAGTTATGCTTTAAAAGTAGAGTAATCGTGGCAGTTTTCATCCATAGTCTGTCTGTTTAAACGTGTGCATTTAGTTTCAAATGGCATCTTTGACGACAGTATTCTATAATAATTATTTGTATTCTGATCCTGACATACAAAGGCACAACATTTTTTTTTCCTTTTATTCCATGGATTTTACTCATTTCCCTCCACTTGTTACCTGTGTTTTTCTGCCACCACTATGCGCATGCAGCTGCAAGTGACGTAACTGTGACGTCTACTCCGAATTGGTCTATAGTAATCCACATGGGAATTTCGCATTTTCCTGCACAGATTTCACATCTAGTTCAAACTTGTCAAATTCGTTTGGTTTGAAATGGGTTTACATCGCTACACTTTTGACAATGGATCCAGTTTTCCTGCGAAAATTACACTAATGTGATTGCACTTTTATAGATTAAAAGAGTCAGTGGTCTTTTTCATTTGTGCATCATCTGTTTGTCTACTCTTGAATATTCCATGGATTTTACCCATTTATCTCCACTTGTTCCCAGTGTTTTTCTGCCACCACTATGCGCATGCAGCTGCAAGTGACGTAACTGTGACGTCTACTCCGAATTGGTCTATAGTAATCCACATGGGAATTTCGCATTTTCCTGCACAGATTTCACATCTAGTTCAAACTTGTCAAATTCGTTTGGTTTGAAATGGGTTTACATCGCTACACTTTTGACAATGGATCCAGTTTTCCTGCGAAAATTACACTAATGTGATTGCACTTTTATAGATTAAAAGAGTCAGTGGTCTTTTTCATTTGTGCATCATCTGTTTGTCTACTCTTGAATATGCATTATCTTGGCCAGACTAAAAGAAATATCGTTGAGCTAAAGAAGCTCAATTTATTAAACATTTTATTTAATATACGTACCTGCAGTGGTGGAAAGAGTACTGAAAAAATATACTCAAGTAAAAGTACCATTACCTTCCAAAAAATGTAGTGTGAGTAGAGTAAAAGTACTTGTCCAAAAAAACTACTTGAGTAAGAGTAAAAGAGTAGCCTATTTAAAAGTACTCATGAGTACTGAGTAGTAAGTACTGAGCTGTGGATCCTACCCCCTCATAATAAACGCTGTACACCGCAATTTATACATTTTACAAACATTGTACATTATGTAATTCACATTATCTTGTTTGTCATAAAGAATAAAGAATATATATTATCCAGCAGTTTTAATTTTGACTGCCAACTCTTTAAAATATATCAAAACAGCATGGAAACAGTATTCAGTTGAAGAAAAGATGAAAGTTATTCTCAGTACAATCATCCCCATTTAAATCATAAAGTTTGAAAAAATAGATTTAAAATCATGTGTAAGGCCACTGAGACAGCATATGCTGTTGTTGCACATAAAATATTAATGTTTAGAACAGTGCAAATACAAACACCATTAGAAACTCATAGTTCAGCATCACACACCATGATATGGGTTAAAATGAGAGCCCATTTCTCTCCAAAACGGTGCCAGTTTTAGCGTTTTGCAATAAAGAAATAACAATAACTATATTGCGCGCATGTCTCTTTGCTGAGCCGCGACGGTCTCGGTGAATCAGCAGCATCCACAATGGAACAAAAAGTGTTGAACTTGAAAATTGTTTATGCGCGAGTGCACTTGCTAAATGAAGGCAGATAGTATAAAATGGATTAAAAATACAAAAATTAAAAAATATTTATTAGCCAGCTGCAGTTTTATTACATCATATGCTGGCACAGATGCAGTATATTAACGCCACGGGTGCGACTGAATTGATGCTTGAAGAATGCACTTCCAGCAGCCAAAAGTACCGATACATCACTTAAAATGTACTCAAGTAAAAGTAAAAGTACACAATTTTTAAACTACTCAAACAAGTACAATTACTGATAAAAACTACTTAATTACTGTAACGTGAGTATTTGTAATTTGTTACTTCACACCCCTGCGCACCTGTCTTTTTCTTATTTAAAGATGGCAGAAAGATTTATGAAGATGGCAGCCAAATGGATCGACAGTTTAAATCTTTGTTTATGCAGTGTGTTTTAGATATTTTCAACATTTTTAGCCTTATTTTAACTATTTTAAAATATACATAGATCTTAAAGTGAAATGAATTGTGGTAACCAACAATGGATCCATAGCAGATTACATAATAATGGATCCCTACTTAGCTTCCATTACACTCTTTGCTCTTTTTCAAGGCACTTAAATACAAAAGTTTTGATGGACTGAACTTCAACCAAATAATGGCAGTTTTCTTCATCTTGGCAAGGTTTTTCAGCTCTAACCTGCAGTGCTGCTCTCTGGCAGGGCTTTGGTCTGCTGGGTCTATTTCCTGTGCTGATGAGGTGTATGAAGGAGATGACATTAGCAAAATTCAGCGTTTTGTCCAGAATCGCCTCTTACATCCTACTCGCCCTCTCAAGCAACACATGGATGGTCTTCCTCGGTAAGCTCCCATCACTCAAATGACTCAAATGATTTATATAAATTATATATTGACATAATGAAGCTCCTTGCAAAGTTATTGTGCATGAAGAATGATCGAGAAAATCATTATTTCAAGTTAATGATGCAGTAGGGTCAATGATGTGATTTATTTTGTCCAGACCCATTAATTTATTAAAAAATGCATTAGATATGCAATTCATACTTACAGTGACTTGAATACACATATTCTATGATAAGCTATTGTTGACAAAGTAAAAAAAATGCTATTTATTTGTTTGTTTTTGCTTGTTTTTTTTAGTTTATGAAAGTGATATAATTCAATACTGTAATATAATTATTATTAAATGGTATTATATATTACACTACCACCCAGAAGGATTAAAAAAAGACATTAATACTTTTTTTGAACAAGGATACAATAAATTAATCAAAATCCAAGGCACTCGAAAATATTGTGAAAAAGTCAAAAGCCTTTATTCACATGGCTTTAACATTAAAAACAACACACATGTGCACCGACGCGTTGCCTTGGATTGATGAGTTTTTTGATGACATAAAAGAATCCTGCATCCAAAGAACACCAGTTCATGAAGTTCACACCCCTGCAGCAATTTTTTTTTTGCATATTTTTGATGTACGACAGTAAATACATTTATAATATTCATTAATTTTAAAGCTGTAGTCCGTAACTTTGTTTTGGTTAAAAATGATCCGAAATCAATATTTGAGCAAGTAGATAAACCAGCCAGTGTTCAAAACTATAGCCTTAGTTTAGCCCGATTCACAACGGTTAGCTTATAATAATGTTTTCTAATTTGAGCAGTACGGGTAGGTTTTCGCGGGAAATTCGAGCATGTACAAACGTGGCAGACTTGTTACTTACTTGTTCAGATGACAATATCCAGGGAAAATTTTGTTTTGGGTCATATATTCCAAGACGTAGGCTAGAACCTGTGATTCTGAAGTACAGTGAATATCCACACCGGTGCAGTGACTGACTGCCACACATACTCCTCAAAACATTAGATTCATCCACGCTGGAGCCATGCCGGCGCACAACCCGCAAGGAATATAATTCCGCAAACAGCTGCAATTGCAGGTTTTCAAACAGAGATGGCGACAAAGAGGAAAAACTTACGGACTGCAGCTTTAATTTAAAATAATTTAATTTAAAATAATTGTAATTTTAAATAAATATTATTCTGTACTTTCAATTTATCAAAGAATCCTGGAAAAGTATGATGGTGTCCATAACAATATTAAACAGCATGACTGTTTTGAACCTTGATAATAGTGAGAAATATTTCTTGAACATTAAATCAGCATATTAGAATGATATCTAAAGTATCACGTGAGACTGAAGACTGGAGTAATGGCTTTTAAAACACGTTTAAATAGAAAATATTTATTTTAAATTGTAAAACTATTTCACAACATTACCATTTTACTATATTTTTTATCCTTGGTGTGTAAGAGACATTAAAAAAAAAAGTTTTAAAGGTTATATATACACGCACGCGCACACACACACACACACACACACACACACATATATATATATATATATATATATATATATATACATTCCATTATATCAAAGTCTTTTAAAATATTTGTATTAATTTTTAATTTTTTTATTTAATTAAATGTTTAATATTTTACTTTTAATTTTAGATTTGACATTGACTTGGTAGTACTGTTGTGGTAGTGATATGTGTCATGTTGTCGCATGGTAACATGGGAAGGTTTTACACTTTAGGATGGTTAGAAACAGCACAACTGACCCTATTTCAAATCTGTCAGCGTGCATATCAAAGCACATCTCTCTTCCCTAAAACAATGTAGATTTATTTTGTCAGCATGTGAAATGCACAAAGCAAATGTTTCCCACTCGAGGCCGACGGTCTTCACTTGAGCTGCCTGTTTTAACAAGACAGTCAAATGGCTAAATGTTTTGGAAAAACAGTCTACCTGACCAGACTTTTTATGGTTCACATTCATTCCTCACTGCTGTCTGAACTCCTTGCCTTGTTCTAGGGGGGCTCCACCTCCAAAGAGGTGTTCTCAGAGTGGTAAGTAATGATAACATTGTGCCGGCCTTCATAGACGGCCACTCTCAGGGAGAGACAGCCGGATCGGCGTTAATACTGTTAATTAAATAAATGGTTGTGGAAATTGTTATTCTAATCGATGTGGCAGACGAAAGCCTTTTAAAGGGAGATGAGTGGCGGCTCAGATGAATAGTCAGTGCCAGGGAGGGTGGAATTTGCATGCTGGTCTTTTCTGTTGGCTGCGATAATGAGGGGCACAGTGGCGGCACACAGGAGTCATAACCTCCATTCTGAAAGTACAGCGCATGTGTGCTGTGTGCAGAACCGACACGCACACACAAAACACACGGACACGTGTGCACACACATACACCCCACCGCATACGCATCAACGCAAATACAGAAAATCTTTTGTTCTCTTGAGGATCTGCTTTTCTTGATCACGCGGCTGCGACGAGCGAGTGACTTTACATTCTGAGCCATTAGGAGAAGCCCATGCTTTGTAATCACAATTACCTCGCAGAATTTCATACATATAGATTAAGCACATGAATTATTGAATATTACATTTAGATTCACTTTTTTAGAACACATTTTAGAACTGGTTAGCATTCCTCTGGTCTCACCAGAGAGATTAGTTACTTGTGTCTTTATGTTTAATTTTAAGCAATGTTTCTTAATATAGTGTAGGCCTATGCAGGTCTATAACAGTTGTTTTTGGATGGTCCTTTTGGGAAAAGTACCTATGGTATTTATAATAAAACCAAAACAACCACAAATTTACAATTGTTTTACTACACGGACCATATTTTAACCATGATATTTGTAGTAAAACTATAGTAAGAAAATATATAACAAATCTGAAAAACAAACAAATGAACAAACAAACATGGTTTTAGGATAGGATACCATGGTAATAGCACATATTCATGGACATATAGCATAGTAAAATATTTATTTATTTTTATTTGTTTGTTTGTTTATAATACATAGTTTTACTACAATAACTAAATTTAAACGGTGACATTTGTATTAAAGGGGTCATATGATGCGATTTCAAGTTTTCCTTTCTCTTTGGAGTGTTACAAGCTCTTGGTGCATAAAGAAGATCTGTAAAGTTGCAAAGACTAAAGTCTCAAATCCAAAGAGATATTCTTTATAAAAGTTCAGAGTCAGCCACACCTACCTAAAACAGCTCGTTCTAACACGCCCCCACATATCTACCTCACTATGTGGGAAGATTTGCATAACGCCGCCCAAATTTTCACGCAAAGAAAGAAGGCGTAACTTTTAGTCTCACTGTAGTTTTGTTGACGCTGCAGCCATGTCGTGAAGACGCTGCGTGCTTTGTTGTGAAAGCGAAACTACTTTGTAGAGGACGATATCTGCTTCGTCATGCCTAGAGCTGATCTGTGCT